TGTCACGGCACATGTTCCAAAAGACCTGATCTGAAGGTGTCAGAGACCTGCTGTCCTTTCATCGGGAAATTGTAAAATAACGGTGCTCACTCACTATCTGTGCAGAGGCCTGCTGGCATTTTTATTTGGTGCTAGGTTATAAGGACTAAACTATAAATGGTGGTCTCAGGTCAGGGGATAGGGGGCGTAGGTGTGACAATGGATTCAACTTTCAGAACAGGACAACTGGGGATGGAGGTCCCAGGACTGTGTCCTCTGTGGAGCTGTAAGGAAAAACTGTCAGGGCTCCATGAGCATCAGATGGAACCTGGGTTCGTAGCTGAGTCCTCAGGGTGATGCTCTGTTGGAGAAGCTGGAAATGTAGTGGCAGAGAGCAGCTGCTATCAAGGTTGCAGTAGGTCCAGGATGGAGGTCTCTGCAGAGACTGTGTGAGTGCCTATCTCAACACTCAGGGTGTGGCTTCCAGACCTGCAGTGTCAGCCTCCCCCTGGGAGATACAAGTTCCTATGTCCACCCCTCACTATCATTTTAGCAGATGACTTGTGTACATATCACAACACGAGAAGGAACACTACTCTAGAGAAAAATAGGCTCGGTCTTAGTCTGAAGACTGTCTAAAGTCAGGTGGGGATGACATGAGCCATCATGAAGTGTGTGTTCTAACCAGCCCACCTTTAAAGTGGGCGCGGGATTGATGCCTCAGTACCTATACCACTGTGAAGGTAGTATTGAAATACGTAAAAAAGTGTAAGTCCCCAGATGCCTCAAGATGTGTCAAACTTGAAATGATGAGCATTATTCAGTACTGATTCTTTAGTTTTGACTTCTGGACAATGTAGAGCTGTTTTTTGTCTTGTTTTTTTATTTTTAACAGCTGAAGTGGTCCTTCAACTCAGCTTCATTCCATACACACTGATGTACTGGGGTGTAAGTAATTCCCCCAAACTTGCATTGAGTAAAAGCCCTCAAGGAGACAATTCAATTTCCAAATGTAAATTCCAGCCACATGTAGAGGGAAGACTATTGCTACCATCCCCTGGTGAGCAATGAGGCTTCCTACAAACGTGATTGCCTCTGACATTGTTTCTGCTCTCCAGAAGTGGCTTTTCAACGGTAAAAGAAGCGGTTTCTGTTGGGAGAGGGTTTGCTGCTGTAAAGCTGAAAGTTTATGCTTGTTATGCATGAGTTTGAGGGAAGAAAGACAGAAATGATGAGGAAAGACAGGAACGTTCAATGTCCTGTCGTTTGAACAGCTTTTTCCCCCCTTAGCCTTAATTATGATCTGTGTGAGGTTCCTACCACGGCCTAACAGGAAGCCTATACCCACTGGGGTCTCCTCTCTGCACATCCCTCACCTTCAAGCAATTTCTGATACCAGTGAGGGAATATGCCCTCCCTCATGGGCTGAACTTGTAAGGTGAAAAATTGGATTTCAGTTAGAATAGCAAATTCAAATTTTAGATATTTTGCTACAACAGCAAATATTCTGGTGGCCAGTTATGGTGTTTCTGATAGGCAAGAATGAGCATCAAACTCATTCTATCCAGTAAATAGTATACACAACTTATATCTGGTAATATTGGTGTTTAAGGGCATGCTGACCTTTTAATAGTAAAAACTAAATAGTGTGTGATATTTATTATTTTTAATTTGTGTGTGATTTTGAGAGTACGTCTGTATATAAGTGGGTGTATGTGTGCCTGTGTGTGTGTGTGCATGTGTCTATGCCTATGGAGGCCAGAGGTTAACCTCAGATTTTATTCCTCAAGAGCTCTCCTCCTTGTGTTTTAAGACAGGGTCTCTCACTGGGACCTGGGATTTACTGATTAGGCTAGGTTGTTTGGCCAGCTAGTCCTCAAGCTCCTCCAATGTCTGCCTCCTTGGTGCTAGGATTACAACTGTGCACCTCCATGTCTGGTGGTCTTCATGCTTGCAAGACAGGTCCTTTGCCCACTGAGTTATTTCTTCAGTCCCAGTAGGTTTAGATGGTAAACCAAATCAATAGAGCCCCAACTCTACCAAAGTCTAAACATGATACCGTCCCTGGGTTTGCCATAGTCTTGTTCATCTGAAGGTTCTTCACAAAGTCCAGCCATCATTCTGAAACACCTGCCAGTTATATGCTGAAGGACCCTGGCCAGTGGCAAACGGAACTGTGCAGTCTGGGAGGGGATCTACGGGAGTTCTGTCTTTTGAGTCTAGTGGACTCTCTGATACTGGCTGGACAAAGTGCCCGTTCCTCCTAGGCCCAGCTTCACATTTGTGAAGTGGGTAGAGCTAGTTTACTCTTCAAACTCTAGTGCCCCCAAGTAATATTTGGTCTTACTTGTGAAGGCCAGGGAAAGATACCCTTTCCTGATCTGTGTTTCTGCAAGGAATGCTGGGGGCTGGTGTGTATGGTCTTAGGGCCTGCTTCACTTCCAGTGACCACAGGAACTGCTGATAGGAATCCCTCCAACCCTGACTGCTGTGTTTCGAGGGTGGCTGCCACTTCAGCAGTGTCACCAGACTGTTTTCTGAGCCCTTAGCATAGGTCTGTCTTTTGTACTAGATGCGCCACCCAACAGCAGGGTATGTTCTAATTATTATTTTAATTTTGTGTTGGCAGCAAGATACTTTGAGGGGAGGCACTTCCTTTGGGGGGCTATTCAGATCTCCAAACTTCTGGCTCAGGGCTTCTCAGCACACATGAAGAACATATTGGTTTTCCCCTAAACCGTCCTCTGTACAGCACTTACCCTACTGCTTGCGGGACCCATGATATGTTTCCTCCATTCATCTGTACCTCCTGGGATGGGGGACCTGCACAGAAGGGAACATCTACAAAGGGCAAAGCCAGCATATCCAAATAAACATTGCCTAGTACTTACTGCCAGGCATGCGTCACTGGCTGCTGGGTCCCAGTGAAGAGTTAAACAGAAGCTGCAGGCTTGCACAATCAAAATATGCACCGTACTTGACTTTTTTTTTTCAGATCAGCTCTTTGCTACAAGAACTTCTTGAAATGACATATACTGGTAAGACATTGTTTTGTGTTGTGTGTTATATTTATCTGGGGCTTGGGTGGGAGCAACCTCTCCTAGATTGCTCACAGTATCAGTAGTTAAGGTTCTCACAGCGAACAATAGTCCTCCTTCTGAGATGAAATAGTGTGGTGTTAAAAGACTAGAAAAAACCAGAATTTCAAGCTTACAGCAGTGTTGTACTATTGACAATCAAGCTCTGCACTTTGGCTTCTGTTCTGTGATCTTAAATATCGGATTCTAAGACACTGTAGGAGACATGGTTGCAGAAGCTGTCCAAATAAAAACCAAAATAGAACAAAAAGTCCTCAAACAAAACAAAACCCCAAACTGAAAAATTAGTAGTTTGCATATATATTTTACAAGACTATTATAAATAACAAAATATTTTAAAGAAGTATAGATGAGTAAGTATAAGTTCATCAAATCAGACCATTTTGCATATGAGCAGCCCCATAAAATCTGTAGAGCTCAGGAAATTAGAATTGCAAATGGACAGTCCTAGGTCTTATCAAATTTATTCTGGAAGCTGCATGTTGCTGGTCTGGCTTTATAGGATCTGAAATATGGCATTTACTTCATGTGAACATGTGGTAAAGTCATCAAGGAAAGTCTCTGGCCCTTTGCATAAAGCTTTGTGTTAAAGGGAATCTTGACTGGTAAATTTATGCAGCCTGTGAGTTCCACAAGGGGTTAAGACATTACAGGTACAAGTCAGGTGGCCATTATAAATGTTACCCAAATAAAAGTCCAAAACAGGAAGCCAAGAAGCAAGTCCCTAAGGCAGGCAGTGTCTTAAATGATATCATCTGTCAAGTTTCCAACATCTTATGGTAGGGACACAAAAAGAAGCTTTTCGTGGTGCTGGGATATTATGACCTCATTAGCTGTGGCTCTCCTCCACATACAGCACAGGGTTTCACTGTAATAAGCTGCAGCTACTTCTCACACACTAGCAATAGATAACTACTGAAGCAAATACTAATGACCATCTATAGGGGCTCCGTTCCGTTCCTGATAAACCCCATCCGGTGCAGTCAGACAACAACAACACGTAGAACCGATCTTCCTTTGCAAACCAGTGCCTAGAATTTGTGTGTGTGTGTGTGTGTGTGTATGTGTGTGTGTGTTTTGAAATCAATCAGCATCTGTAGTTTTTCTGAAAAGGACCAGAAATTACATTGTCTGTGCATTCAAAACAGTTTGAAGGGGTAGCAGCTGACTTTTCAGAAGTCCTGACCAAACACTTCAGGCCTACCTTCGTGGTGAAGCAATGATCTGAGAAGGCCACACTGAGAACTGAGAATTCATTTACCCCACATCGATGCTCTGCCCTCTTCCCTTCCTTAGAGCAAAGCTGACAATGGCTTTGAATTGTGAATGCACTTTCTGTGATATGGGACACCATAGAGTGTGGACCCTCACACTGTCTCATCTCCCATTAGTGACTGGGCCTGAACAACAGCCCAAGGGAACCAAACTAATATTCAATTACAAGCCTAATTTTAAAAATCCTTTTTCACAAAAATTAAAAAAAACTTTTAAAACATATTTTGGGATTACTGGAATAGGCAGAATCATTTGTGCTTTTTTTCCTAAGAATAAATGAAAACAGCAAGTACCATAGTTCCTCTATCTGGGGACTGAAAGACATGAGGTTTCTTTTTCTTTTTGTTTTAATACTGTTTTATTTTAAACCTGGGTGTTTGAATTTTACTTTTACGTAGCCGAATTTAGTATATTCCCTCAAAACATTAATACATTTTTATTCCGTAGCTTAAGGGATCCATCAGATAAAATGTTGGTCTTTCATCTTTATTACCCTCCCATTAAAATGAAGGAAACCGGGACTCACTTCAGTTTAGAAGAGGCAATTTAGTTGGTAATGTCCTCCATCCCGAAGCCTTTTCAGAGGGAGAGTGCATTATCACCGAGATTTCACACATCTATCTGCATAGGAAGCAACTGAGCCTTTCAGACACATACTATGTTAAATTTAATAATAGTCTTTGATTAGATTATTTTATTACAACATTTTTCCATTACCAGTCATTTCCTGAGCATACGAACATTCATAAAATCTGCCCTCCCTCCCCGTTTGTTATGTTTGTATACAGAAGAGACAGCACAGCCTTTCCTGCTACAGTGGCTAGGTCTGAAAGGGACAGATTAATAACTGTGCACCACATTGGACGAGCCTTGCTTGTCCCCTGCACCAGCAGCCCTTTGCTATGACGAGGACACAAAGAGCCTCGCGTCAGGCTGCTACCCTTCTTCATAACTCAAAAGCGTCACAGTGGCAATAGCCTCCAGTGCTATTTGTCTTTAGTGCAGTTGTGACACATCAGCATGATCCATAATTTGGCAGCTATTTACCGTGACATTTCCCTTCAGTGCGGCCATAACATTCAGTGAAGCCATTATTTGGTTCCATTTACCATATAAATTGTATTGTTGTGCGTGCATGCTAGCAGCTACATTAGGTACCTGAAAATGAGTAAATCTTGTAAAATAGATACTAACAGCTACTCAGAAACAGGATCTCTCTGCTCCTCAGATGCAGGGAAGGAATTAAATCTGGCCCCAACTTTTCATAAGAGTACTCTTAATTGCATCCCCATTTATTGAGCACATTTGATGTACTGAAACCCAAGACTGGAAAACAATCTGACAGGCTTCACCTTCAATTAGAAAGGCACCGTGGGGTTTTGATCCCGTGACAAAAGTGGCAGGCAGCCCTTGGGCACCGAAGGTGAAGGGCAAGCAGATCAGATACGGTGCAGTTTGAAGAGAAGCCGGCATGTAGGCTGACAGACAGGACTGCACCAGGACACAGCACTAGAGCAGGTGGCTCATTTCTCGCTAACACAGAAGCAAAATGGGAACACAGGATACCTGACCGCCATTCCCTTCCTGTCACCAGACATCAAGCTTTCCACACCAACCCTTTGAGGAGAAGCAGAGGGTTGATTTTAGAAGAACTGGGTGCCTACTGTGTTTGGAACTGTGAGACTTTTGCTCCTTGGGGATAGGAAGTGAGCTGCTTTTAACCTTTAAGTGCTAGAGTGAACCCCTCCTGTGATCCTTGTTATTGCATTCCATGAGCCTCCTGAGGAGGTAGCACAGAATTTTCCCTTCCTCTGCACACAATTGTTTTCACAAAGTCCCCCTAAACCTAAACCATAGCTTTATCTTCTAAAACCCACGGTTTCCAACAGTCATTTCTTGAGACATGAACACACTCTTCACAATCAATCTTACCAGGATGTGAATTCAAGCCACCAAAGAGCAGATATGTCATTAAGACATGCAAGTTTGCTGATTCACTTTTCCAGTGACTTACCAGAACTTGGGAGACTTCTTTCCCAAATGTCTGTTTAGATAGTTGGGGCTCCTTGCTAAGCATATGGACCATGAGAATGCCAGGCTGACCGGCACTACCTGTTCACCTGTGGAGTACTTAGGAGCAGCTGTTTCCAAAGCAAAGGAGCCTTGGTGAGCTATTTGAAGACTGATTTAAAAAAATCTCATCAAGCTGGGGACATACTGACTCGATCAGGTCTCACATCAGGAATTAATTTACTTCCCTGGAACAATAAAATCTGGAATGAGACCGTCCATGACTAAAGAACCAAATGTAAACGTTTTACCTCTTAGCTATAGAGAGAACTTTTATTGAGGCACATTATTTTTACCCCCAAGGAGGGGGGAGCAGAATTCATTAACACTATACTTTTGTTTTAAGATATATTTTGTTCAATCTAAGGCATGGAGCATTTGTTTTCTTTCTCCTATGGTTTGTGTCACTGTTCTGCTGTCATAGCTTACTACTAACACAGTGAGGTAATTCAACCACAAGTTTTCCCGTATTTTTCCCAGTGTACATATAGTCAACAGCCCGGAATATGGAATCCAGGCCAATGAACCTTCCCTCTGGAGCCTGATGTCCCAGGTCCATCTCACAGACCAAATCCCCACGAGTGTACAGCTCCAGCAAGTGTTCCATGGCGGCCTGGTACTTGGAGAAGTAATGGTTCAGAAAGAAACCTCGGAGACTGGCAGACTTCTTCAGGAGCTTGGCTGGCAGAGCTCCTGCTTTTATAGGTGAAAGACCCGCAGGGCTCTGGTAGCCAGAGATAAACCCAATTATTATCAAACGCCCTTTGGTGGCTAGGGCATCCAAAGCCAGGTCAAACATGGCTCCCCCAACAGACTCGTAGACTACATCGACACCCTCAGGGTACTCCTGCTTCAGGATTGTCTGCAAGGCCTCTGCTTTGTAGTTGATGGGGCGATCACACCCAATGGATTTCAGAAAAGCTAACTTTTCATCCGACGAGCAGGTTCCAATGACATGGCACTTGGCTATCTTAGAAAGTTGCACAGCAAACTGGCCTGTCCCCCCAGCGGCCGCTGTCACCAAGACTTTCTTCCCTTCTGACAGCCCTCCGAGCTCTTTCAGGCTGATGTAGGCAGTGGTGCCACTAACAAGCAGAGTGAGATACTCGGGTTTCACTGAAGGCAGGGGAAAGGCAACCTTAGCAGGCACCACTGTATACTCAGCAAAGGATCCCGGAGCCACATAAGCCACGGCCTGGCCCACCGTGTACCTAGCACTAGCAGAGAGGCCTAAGGCCACCACCTCACCAATCCCTTCAAAACCTATGTCAAAGGGGGGCTTCACGGATGGGTCATAGCGGCCAGCAGAGTAGTTGATGTCAGATGCATTAATACCAACGAATCTAGAAGAAAACAGACAGAGGCATCAAGAGTCTTCCTTTGTGGGAGGCCTTCATATTCAGCATAGGGGGGAAAGGCCTTTCTAATCCCAGTGAGTGTAAAAGAGCTATGGGACCTGACAGAATTCGGGACAGTAACTCTTGCTGTTTATCTGAAAAAAAAAAAAAGAATTTGAATATGTATTAACTGGAGTTTGGGCAGATTTTATTCTTTTGTAGTTTAGGAATAATTTCATATTACTGTAATCAGCAAGTGATGTATTTGTATTTCCTGTGCTGCTTACTTTTGTCCTCTTTCAAAAGAAAGGAGGAGGAGGAGGAGGAGGAGGAGGAGGAGGGAGAGGAGGAAGAGGAGGAGGAGGAGGAAAAGCCAGGAAGCCCTCACCATCCACAAAGTTCACTGGAACTCTGAGTTGGAAATTAATTGGTCTCTTGACAGAGATGTTAAAAACAACAGTGGGATAAAATACACCCGAAGAAGCACACTTGTATTGATTCTGGCAACAATTTAACACTTCAGATAATAATAGTAATGACAATGATATTATTAAAGATGGATGGGCATGCAAGGTCATCCATGCGACATGTTACTGCCCTGGTTGTTTGAAATGCCGAAGCAGATTTTCTCTCTGATGTAACTATGCCGCATGAACATACGCATTTTGATTAATTGAACAAAAACTGGGGGAATGGTCTTTATGCAGCATTCGGCATTTAACAGCCTTTGCAGATGAAAAGGGAAGCAAGCCCTCACTGTATTTTCTTCAACAAGAAGCAGAGACCCGGCCTGATTAATAGCAGATGACTAGTTTCGTTTTGGTACCCAGGCTCACATTAGCTGTGAGGCCAGCGTCTACCAGCTTTTCTTTGTACCCAATATACCTTCTAACAAAAATATCCCCATGGGTTAGGGGTGCCTCTTCTAAGAATGTCAAGAACTCTAGCACAGAAGGACCCCAAAATTGCCATGTCCTCCCATAAGAAAGTGAAAAGACGGCAGGAGAAAAAACGAAAAGAATTCACTTTTAATTTATGAACGCAAACAATGACCTGGACTTCCAAACGGTCCCTCACAAGCATCCTCCCATACACAGAGACCTTTCCAGATCATGGAAATAAGAGAACTGGAGACAGTTTCTTCCACCAAGCTGCTCTCAGAAATCAACTTAGTATGGCTCCTACAACTCTAAACTCTGCTTCTGTACTCACAGATAAGGCCCAATAATAAAAAGTGGGGAAAATCAGTTTGGTTCATTTTTCTTCCACACCAAAATGCCAATATTCTGGCTTTTTTTTTTTTTTTTTTTTTTTTTGGTAAAGGGGCTGGAAATCTGCATCGTGTCGTTTTCCCTTTAAATTCACACAGTTCTCCAGCCCTGATCTTCACTTCCTAGGGGCCAGCTCACTAGAGCCAGGCTGCAGGATGCCTTACCGCCCTTCATTCATTGGAAAAGTCAACTCCAGGAGAGAAGGCCACCAGGGTGGGAGTGATTCTTAAGGCTGGTGAACAGGGACCAAGTGCCGGTCCACCCTCTTGCTATTCAGAGTTAACCCTTCCCGTTCCTCTCCAGGCGGTCCTCATTTGGCATCTCAAGGTCCACAAGGGCTGCTTCCCCCACACCATCCCCCAACCCCACCCCGGGAAGAAGCTGGGGCCCACTAGTGCTGTGGCCCAGTGGGTGGGGAGGATCCACAGGACAGAGATGTAAATTCCCTCCTGTCCCGGGCAGCTGAGGCCAAGTTTGGAGGGGTAATAGTGTGGCTCGGCTGAGCTGGGCTGGTTGCTGATGGCCAGTAGGGGCATGAGCTGGAAACACCACAGTGCTCACTATGGCGATCAGCACCAGCAAGTACCGGTGAGGTGACATTGACCGGCAGGCCCCAGAGCCTCTTCCCGCTGGCATCTGCCCTGAGGCATCTGCCCAGAAAGCCGGCACTCCGGGGTGGGTCTCTGCTGGGAACCGCGGCCTTTCCATCACCACCACCCGGGAGTGACATCAATGACCCCACATCCCAGAGCCAGACACAGCTGGCTGCTGGGTTTCCTGGCCCCAGGCACATGCAGAGCAAGAAACGCCAGCTCGTGACCTTGACCTGCAAGCGTTTCCAGTTGCCACTGCCCTCAACCCTACCCCTCTTCTAACCCGTCCTCGTCGTAGGAGAGCAGTTCCAACTATTTCCCATAGCCTGCCTTCTGGTCCCCGTGCCCTCTCCAGCACCTCTTGGTAGTCCATGGTGCCCGGATCCCTGTCTCTACCTGGTACCTAGTTCTGGCACTGCATCCCATGGGCCGGTGGAGACCCGCCACTGCCTTGGACGCACCTTGCTCCTTACCTGGCCTTTATTAGAAGCTGTGTACCTTCCCCTCCTCAAGAAACAAGTTCAAGGGTAGCAAGCTCAAAGAGAAAGAGGGACCTGGTCAAGGAAGGAAGAAGGGAAGTCGAGCCAAAACAAAAACAAAAACAAAACCAAAAAAAAAAAAAAAAAAACCAGGAAAGAAGCGCTGGCATACTTGGAGACCCTCCCTGTACTCACTTCCCCCTTTAATTGCAAATGTGTGCCAGTAATGACTGCAGGACCGTAGCAACCTGAGAGTAGGATACACTGTGAAAACCGAAGTCCAGGCACCACACAAAAATTTAATGGGACCACAGCAGGCCGTTTCCCAAATATATACCCTTCTAAAGACTCTTGGTTATTTATACTACAAAGTGGTGTGTGCCTCGTACGGTTACTGTAAAAAGCGGGCGGGGAGGGGGCATTGCTTTTCTTTGAACAAACACTGAACAGGAAAACTTGGACCACAGGAAGAGTCTTGAAAACTGGGAGACACAGTCGCCCAAACCAGACTTTGCTTGAAAAACAAACAAACAAACAAACAAAAAAAACAGGAGGAGGAGAAGTAAAAGTTAGGGGGGGCGTGGAGAATCTCGGCTTGGAGAGTGAACAGAAATATTTCACCCGCCCTTGAGCAACAAACCGTTTATCAGGACGCCTTCCCCCTCCCCCACTACTCACTGCCATTTCTACAAACTCTTTGCACTATCTTACACTTGAGCAGAAAATCGTTAGGAATATTTGGAAACGAAAACAATCTGTCATTCTCACAAAAAGGACAAAAATAGCACACACGGACTTGACCCGTACTATCTGTCTCTTTTTCTTTTCCGAGGGCTCAGCCGAGGGGGAGAAGTTGTCCCGGTTGCGGATGCAGTAAGGTGATGGCAGATAAAGGGACATCAATTACTGATTAAACAGGGGTTCTGTGCACTCCCTCCACACACTTTTCCTTGGCTGTAAACTTTACTGCCCTAAGCCTACACCTAGCTTGCATAGGCTGCCCCTCCTTGCGAATGAAACATTGTATTTTGCTAACTGGAATGAAGTGTGGAGACAGTTCACTGGACGGAAAACACCCTTCTGAAGAAATGTGTTTGGGCTTAGCCCACTTATTCCAGGGGAGATTTTGTTATGCTAAAAATGAGGAGCCAGTGAATTAAAATGTAATGCAATTAGCACTACTTAGGAGGCTATTGGCCCTGGATTCAAACGAAGAACCAACTTGCGGTTAATTATTAGACTCTGCTCCTTAAAATAAAATGAAACCAGGAAGAACACCGACAGTGTTCATAAGAATAAAAGATCTGCCTTCAGCTGAGTGGAGACTGCTACAGAACAGTAACAGAGAGACAAGGTTCCGCCTGCTTCCAACTCACAAAGTGGTTTCATCTGCCCCCAGTTGTGAATTTAAGGTAGAAGTTAGAAGTCAAGTTGTTCCTATAAAGCACTTGTATCAAAGGGATTCTTGGCAGGCATGGAAGCAAAATAGAGCCGTGGGTTTTAATACAACACCAACCGTTGAATTTTCCAAAATGGAAGTCTACTGCAATCGGAAGGAGCATCCAATTCCAACTAAGATGACCCTGGGCATCCAGGAGAGCTGCGGCGAAGGGGAGAGGCGAAGGGGTAAAGGGAGCCACTAGATCGAACAAGCTTTGAGGGAGAGGGCTGGGGAAGATGTCCCAGAGTTAAATAAACTTAGGGGCGAGAGGTGCCCAGACCAGCAAAGCAGGGCAGTCTCCAGGCACAGCACGGGAAGCCCCACCTAGATGCTGCCTGCTTTTCCCACTTCCCACCTTCTCCCAGCCTGTCCCCCTTGCGGCCCCCCTCCACATTTCACACCTGTTTCAACGAGGGATTTTATGTAAGCAGTTGTGTGTGTTTATTGGTGTTTACAGTCAACACTATATAAATCACAACAATAAAAGAAAATGAAAGCCCGGCGTGGAACTTTTTTTTTTTTTTTAATTTCCCATGAAGTTTGCTCGGAAAGGTTTTCAGTCTATTCTCATCTGAACTTCTGACAAATCACTGGTGTGCCCTGGAAGTTCTATATGAACACAAGCTCATGCCCCTTTTAGGTTGGCAGGACTCAAATTTTTAATCCTCCACAACTGATCATTTCATCGCATAATGAAACACTCCCCTGCATCTGGAGCGGCCATAGCAAGCATGTTAAGGACATCCACGCGCCACCCTCTAAGGCACTCTCCACCCACGCACTCCACTGGATCCCCCACACCCTCAAACGCTAGGGTTCCAACAGGTTTCCAAAAGTTTCACAACCGGCCTTCTCCATTCCTACAGTCTTCTTTGGAAAGTTGACAGGAATCTTTAAACTGGACTGGTTGAGCTAATAATCTTTGCACCCCGCTACATGGGTAGACGAGTTTTGTCATTTAGACTTTCAGGGAACAAAACTACTTTCTCATAGAGTTTCCAGCTTGGGCGCAATCAGAACTCCTTCCTTCCGTAATTACCCAGCTTCCAACCCACGTGCTGGGACCTTCCAGTGAGGGCCAGCAGGTGAGAGAGCACTGGGGAGAAGCCCTCCTGTCAGGCGGGCAGGGAGAGGAATCAGCCAGCAAACCTCAGTGTGGTCCGGTCTGGACTGAGCAGTGAGGTCTCACACTTCTGCTTCACCACTTACTAAAGATTACTGAAGTGGAAAACCATTAAGGTGGGAAGAATCAGGTAGAACGATCAGGTCTGGCAACAACCAGTGTGCCACCCGAGGGTCTGCAATGCATTCAGGAAAATGAAGCCATGCCCCCGCCCAACGTTGGCCCAGCTTGCTGGTCCACGCCCCCACTTTGCACTCAGGGGACAGAGTACAGTCAAATGGCAGCGACAACACGCAGACTAGGTGAACACCAACATACCCAAGGACAGGCTCCGCCAGTATGAGATGGAGGGGACAGGAAAAAGCAAACCGAACAAGGGCCCCCTTCCTCCAGAGCACGTTTACCTAAACGTCGCAGTGTGTGTCCAGGCTGTTGCTGCTCCACTAAAAATTATGGCAACGCAGGAACCGTGGGTGCGCGCGGGTGGGCCGGGTGGGGAGCCTCCCTTTCTGGGTCCCGTCGTTTTTATTTAGGGAGCGGGAGGGGGGAGGAGGGACGGCTGGGGGGGAGGGAGGAATCCCAAATTAAAATAACCCCCGGATAAAGAGGACGTTTTGGTGGCATCGGGTATTCACACCAGCAAGTCACATTACATTCGCCTTCGCCAGATGGCGGCGGGTTCAACTTCCCGGGATCTCGCAAAGTCAGGCTGTGCGCCCAAACGCGCGCCGCAGTGTGGGCAGGCGGGCGACCCGGGACAGTCGGGAGCCTAGCTGCGCGGGCCGGGGACCTGGACGGGGTCGCGCGCCGGGCTCACCGGTTCCGGACGAGGAGGTCTCCGTCCCCGGGGAGCGGCACTGGGCAGTCCCGGCGCAGGGTGACGGCCTCGCGGAAGTTAGGGCTCAGCCGGGTCACCACCAGCTTCTGCATGGTTCGGGGGATGGCGGAGCCCTGAAAGTCCAGGAAGTGACGGGCGTACGACATGTCCACGATGGCTCGAGCCCCGGCGGCCGTCAGCCTCAGCATAGCCTACGAAGCAGCTCCGCCCGCTCCTGCGCCTACGCTGGCCCGGGTCGCGCCCAGCCCCGGCCGCTTGGCTCCGCTCGACTCTGCGCGGGCGGGCCCGCCCCTCCTCCGGCCCGCGCCCTCCCCTAGGCTCCCGCCCTCCCCCTCACCGCCTGGCTCCCGCCCCCGCCCTCCGACTCCGCCGCGCGCCGCAGCCCCCGCGGAACCCCGGCGCTCCACCCCAGGATCCCTGCCCGGCCCCGCGGCCGCCGCAGCCGCTGCTCCTTTAATCTTTTTGTTTTGGTTTGAATCCGCTCGGCTCACACTGGCCTAGGATCTCCTCCGCCCTCCCCTTTCCTCCGGGCGCGGGAGAGGCCCCGGATATCCCCACCCTCCCCACGCACTGCGACTAGATTTGATTCCCCCAGCGGGGGCGGGGGGGCGCCAAGCTAGAGGGCCAGCGCCCTGGCGATCGCCGCCGCCGTAGCCTAAGCGTCCCCGAGCGGCGCGGCGGCCGGCGCAGGCGCCTCCCCTTCCCGTGCGAAGCGTTCACTTCCTTGCAAGGTGGTACGAATCAACCCCGAGCGCGGCCGGGGCGGCAGGGCACGGCCGGGTCCCGGGCCTGGGCCATGGAGCCCGCCGCTGGTGCACGCGTACTAGCACCTTCTTGCTGGCCCTGGGCGCTCAATGCACTGTGCATCCCCGGCCTAGGCCTCCCGGGTTTCAAGCGCGTCGCTCGCGCCTATGCTCTCTGTTTGTCCCGTGCAAGTTGCACGAACTAAGCCATTTTATTTATCTTGGCCTAGATTTCGTGTTTTTTCCATGGATGTTTTAAGTAGCTCCACAATACTGTTACAGCTTTCCCACTGGGAGAGAACACACAGAACTAGATGGCCGAATTCCCAGAGCGCAGAAGCATTTTTAAAGTTCTAGGTGGGGCCGCGGAGGGGTTTAGCGGAATGGGAGACTTTGTAATGATCTATGAAGACTTCATTTTCTCACTCATCTAGAGAGATCTATCTTTCTATTGTGCCATTTTTTTTTAGCTAATTGTGTTCATTGACCATACAATTCACCTTTAAAAAAAATTGGGGCCACATCAAATATTTCCTGACATTTTGTAACGATCTAAGTCGATTCTTTAAGTTTATATTTTTGGTGTGCATTTTAATTTATAAATAACTCCCGTTTTCCACTTAACCTGTAAATTGCAGAAATACAAAAGCCACACCGTCCTTCACTAGCGAAATCTAACCCACAGACTAAGAGTCAGAAGTGAAACATTTTTTTCCCTCAAATGTAGGACGCGCTTCACCCAAGAGCCGTTCAGATCCACGTGGGCGCGTGTGTATGCATGTACACGCGGGGGAGGGGAACTAACAGGTTTAAGAATCTGCAGGAACTGATGTCTGCCTAACTAGACTCAGGACTCATGGGTTCCGCCCGAGATCAGCCAGTGCATTACAACACGGCCCCCTAAATGTCTTCCTGCAATGTGCAATCTTTTATGTTATGCTGTATTAAGATTTCTTTTCTGTGTCATATTGTTTAGCTCCGAAAAAAATAAAAGAAAACAAAGCAATTAAAAAGATTGACAGGTATGGTTTGTGTGAGACCTATTTGTAATTGTCAGGGTGACGTTGGCGAGAGGAGGAGGAGTAAAAAGTGAGGCAGGAAAGCAGCTCGATGTGTCTGTCTATCAGTTGAGACTGTCTGAAAGCTCTGCGATCCGAATGTGTGTTATATTTCAGTGAAAAGAGGAGAGAGGGAGAGCGCATCTCCTCTCTCCCAGGAGTTTGGGGGGGGACAGTACACGCTCATCTCGCCCACCCAGTGAATGTCCGTTCTTCACCCTCTCGGTGCACACTCTCCGGGTTGTTGGCTTATTTTTTTTTTTGGAGGGTGTGTGTGTTTTTTGTGTTTTTCGAAAAAAAAATTCTGTTGGAAGATCAAGACCGGCCAAAAATCCACGATCAAAATGTGTTTGCATTAGATTTCTTCCCGGAAGAAGCGGCGATCCTGGCGGCCAGGCCCCCCGGGGGCAGCGCGGGGCACCAAGTGGCACTCCGGCGGGTGACACTGTTTGATCTGTGACTGTTTGGAAGGTGGAGCGGCGCTGACATCTCCCCCGGCGCATGTATGTACGGGGGCTTCACTCCTGTCTTGTTTGCTTTCTTCCTCCTAGACTAAGTGCGGGGAGGAAAGGACAGCCGGTCGGCCTCGCTGGCGCACAATGAGAGAGCTGCAACCCGCGCACTAGCAGCGCCCGCCGCGACCCCCACCGCCAGCAGAGAGGGGCCGAGAAAGTTGCGCGCGGAGACTCGCGGCTCGCCCAGGAAGGCGCGGGAGCGCCCGGCGGCGCCCGGACAGCGCCCGCCCAGCACAGCGCCAGCGGCATGGAGCGCGGGCCGCGGGCCGGCCTTCCGAGCGCCCGCCGCTGCGCCCGCGGCCCGCGCCGGGGATGACTCCGGGCTCGGCGCCCAGGCCCCGCGCGCTCCGCCCGCAGCCCGGCGGCCCGGGAGCGGCCCGTGCGGCCGCCGCCGCCGCCAGCTGAGCGGCCCGGGCGCGGCGGTCCATGCGAGCGGCGCCCGCCATCCGCGGCGCGCCCGGAGCCCGGAGCC